CGGGGGAATTAGTGGGTGTTACTTGTGTAACCCTATGCAACACAACATACCTGGGGGGCAGTTGTGGATGTTACTTGTGGTACCTACTGCAAAACACATAGGGGAGGCAGTTTTTGGGAGTTTTACTTGTGGACATACTGCAACACAAAAATACCGGGAGGCAGTGATGTGGAGTGTTACTTTGTGGTAAAACTACTGCAACACAACATACCTGGGAGGCAGTGTAGTGGAGTGTTACTTGTGGTACACTACTGCAACACAACACCCCTGGGAGGCAGTGTGGTGGAGTGTTACTTGTGGTACACTACTGCAACACAACACCCCTGGGAGGCAGTGTGGTGGAGTGTTACTTGTGGTACACTACTGCAACACAACATACCTGGGAGGCAGTGTGGTGGAGTGTTACTTGTGGTACACTACTGCAACACAACACCCCTGGGAGGCAGTGTGGTGGAGTGTTACTTGTGGTACACTACTGCAACACAACATACCTGGGAGGCAGTGTGGTGGTGTTACTTGTGGTACACTACTGCAACACAACATACCTGGGAGGCAGTGTGGTGGAGTGTTACTTGTGGTACACTACTGCAACACAACATACCTGGGAGGCAGTGTGGTTGTGTTACTTGTGGTACACTACTGCAACACAACATACCTGGGAGGCAGTGTGGTGGAGTGTTACTTGTGGTACACTACTGAAACCCACAACACATGGGAGGGCAGTATGGTGGAGTTTTACTTGTGGAACACTACTGCAACACAACATACCTGGGAGGCAGTGTGGTGGAGTGTTACTTGTGGTACACTACTGCAACACAACATACCTGGGAGGCAGTGTGGTGGAGTGTTACTTGTGGTACACTACTGCAACACAACATACCTGGGAGGCAGTGTGGTGGAGTGTTACTTGTGGTACACTACTGCAACACAACATACCTGGGAGGCAGTGTGGTGGAGTGTTACTTGTGGTACACTACTGCAACACAACATACCTGGGAGGCAGTGTGGTGGAGTGTTACTTGTGGTACACTACTGCAACACAACACACCTGGGAGGCCGTGGGTGGAGTTTACTTGTGGTACACTACTGCAACACAACATACCTGGGAGGCAGTATGGTGGTGTGTTACTTGTGGTACACTACTGCAACACAACATACCTGGGAGGCAGTGTGGTGGTGTGTTACTTGTGGTACACTACTGCAACACAACATACCTGGGAGGCAGTGTGGTGGAGTGTTACTTGTGGTACACTACTGCAA